GATTTGCCTAGGTCCCGGGTTTATGGGGCAAATTAATTAAAAAAAAAAAACAAGTATTTTTACAATATACAAAATTAATAATTTAATTAAAAAAAACTGTATTTTAAAATGATACTTATTTAACTATTTTAACAACTTGTCCATTCAGAACGAGCCGTCGCCGGCATCAGGACCTGCGGGACGAAGCTTTTGTCTTCAAAATGAGCGGCGGCGTGAACGAGCGGGAAATTGAAGTCCGCAGCTTGACCGGCGAAACAATCCGAGCCTTGATCGGAGCGAACAAGACCGTCGAGGACCTCAAGCTCCTCCTCAAGCACACCTTTCCTCCGGCTTCCTCTTCCCCTAATTTCCACCTTTTCCTAAAGGCGCGATTGATTTCTCAAATCCCATTTACCCGTTTGTGCTCTGCATTCGTGTCTGTTAATTGTCAATCTCCAGTAGTTACTATATCGTGAGAGAGTGAATTGCGTGTTTGTTGAGAGATGAATGCATTTTTCTTCATTTCGTGCCTCGTACAGTTTGCACGAGTTCATTTTATCTTAGCTCTAGCTCTGTTTCTGTTGAGTCTGTTTGTTTACTTGTTGATTGTTTGTTGCTGGTTGCAGGGCAGAAAACTGAATTTTAAGAGTCAGATTAGTAGTTATGTTATTGGGGTTGGAGAATTTTTGGTTGTTGTCCCTTTTGTGACGAAGGGAAGGAAAAGTGGAAAAAGGGTTGAAGCATCTTGTTCAGACGACCCAAATTCGAGGGGGAGAATTGAGACTGGGTTGGCCGAGTCTGCCTGGTCCGACTTGATGGAAGACCTGTCTTCTTATCAAGACAGTTCTAATGATCAGAATAAACCAGAAGCTGGCTTCGCGACCATGGATTTTGGAAATAAGAGTGCACGTGGTAAAGCAACAGCCTCTTTCAGAGCAATGAATAAGAAGAAAGACTCATATAATGACAAAGAGAAAAGGAATTCGTACGATATTATGTTGAGTTTATTGCAGGGCTGTGGTGGTGACCTGATTGATGAAAAGATGGTCGAAAAGTTTTTTCAGTTTATAAATAGTTCAAGCTGTTTGTGTGATCCAGCTACGGGGTTTTGTGTGATGCGGGAATCTAGTGCTTCCCCATTCGGTGAATTAGATGCTTGTAATAATAGTATGTTGTGCTTCTGCCCATTGTGGCTGAAAGACATTATGAGTGCATTTTCATTTGTGAATATTTACTCAGCATGTCTTCAGCTATGTGAGAAAAGGATTAGCATATGCGCACTAGAGGAACCACTTGACCGACTCCATAAAGTTGGCTTTCGCCCTGGCATCGTAGAATTGGAGCTTCTTTCTCAGCTTTGTCCTAAGGTAATTGGCATGATGGTGCGAACTGTGCTGCCTTGAGAATAAGTCTGTTTTATCTTTTTTTTTTCACTTTCTTTTCTAGAGTTACATTGGTCTTGGTTACCGTCTTTTATCATTCCTTAGTTATTTGATATGTTCCATCATTATGGTTCTATTTGTTCCCTTTTTCCCTTGAAATCTATCATCACTGTTTTGGAATTTGGATGACAATGCTTTTGAGAATAATGATTAAGCTAAATTTGTCACTAGTGCTCTTGCGTAATAATTAGCCTACAGGTGAGCTGGATTCTGGATACAATTAGCCAAATTGAAATTATAGACTCGGTTTGGATCATTTCCTCATAAAATTGTTTTCTCTTGTCGACTTATACGACAACCTTCATGATGTATCCTTTGAATTTTTTTACATGAAGATTCGTATTTGTGCACTTGCTTTGTGTTGTGCTGAAAATATAGAATTTGGATGAGATTTGAAGAATCACAAATGAGTTGGTGCTATACGTGCTTACAATATGAACCGTCTTCTTTTTCTCGTTTTATAAAACTGTAATACAGAACAGATACCAAGTTACATTGTTTTTTATAGGTGATTAAAGCCCATGTTCAAACCACTCCTGTTTATCTGTTTGGTGTTAGTCCCGCCAACTTACAATATCATTAATGTTATGATATTTTAATCTAAGCGTGGTACTATGTTTGCTCTTCTCAGGTACTATGTATTGTTAACAATGAAATAGAGGCAACAGAATTACCTGATGCTGTAATTATAATGAGATCCTCAGCAGACATAAGGGACCAGCACGATGCTGAACTCAATCAAGGTACTTTTTAACATACCAGTCTATTACTCCACACTTCATAAGGTTATTATCTGCTTGTGTATCATGCGCAAGCTACCTCTATGGTTCTTTTACATTGTGGGCTACTCTTGGAAGCTGCAAAACGGTTACCCAGGGCAAAGTTTGTAAACTTGATGCAGAAAAGAGAAACTTCCTTGAAAGCTATTCTTTCAAAGGCAGCAAAATCATTGATGGTACATTAATGCTATTCTACTCGCTGATTTGTTCTGAGGTTTCACATCTTATTCCATGTCTTTGAATATTGAACATCTCTTCGATTAATTTATTATTTTCAACTATTTAATGTTATTCCAAGTAATGCACTGCTTGAGCTTATTTAGATGAAGTCATGAGTTTCTGCATCTGTCGTACTGTTTGTTGATAACATTTTCTTTTTAACGTCTTTTACTCTTCTTTGGGGCTAACATTTAAATGATTTCTCTCCTTGGTCATTTTTCATGTGGTAATATTGGAGAGCTCTAAACTTCTAAGCATCAGTTTTCATCTATGTAAATCTTGATTCTTGAGTAGAATACGAGAACTTGAGATCTCTTGTCATGGTAGGTCCTTTATTGAAGAGGCTGTTTCCTGTCCGCTACTATGTTCAATCTATCACTCACTGAAGCTTAATAAGTTCTCCCTGTCATGAGATTAAAACTCTATTGTTTCAGTCTGCAGATGGAGCAGATATGATCAAGCCTTTTTCATTAGAAGATCTTCTGACATTTGTGAAAAAAGCTGATACTACATCAGCTGAAAAGAATGCGAAACAAGCGAGGAGAAGAAATTTTGCTGCTTCAAATTCTCTTTCATACGAAGTACACTGTCATGTAAGCATAAACTATTATGAATTTTTATCAGATGGTTTCCATTTGCTTCTGCAAAAGCAGAGTGTTGGAAGGAACTATTGGAAGTTCATGTTTATCCCACATCGATTAGATAATAGGTTGTTATTGTGTATAAGTTGGGTTCCGCGCCCTCTCACATTGAGCTAGCTTTTGAGGATGAGTTCTACCCGGTCCCATTTATCATTTACAGTGTTAAAGGACAACTCTATTATCTGTAGTCCTCAAAGTGTGGCTGCATCAATAATAAGTATCTTCTACTAGTCTAGGATCATGTCCTTCAGCTTATCTACTATATCTTATGTTGTTGCATCGTTCCTTTGTTTGTCAGTATTTATACTGCACCATTTGTCAGAATTCCAGAGAGTAAAACTATGTTGCTGTTTTGGAGTATGCAACAACATTTGTTGCAGAGGTGGTAATAGTGGGAAAAATGCAAATGAGTTAAGGGGTGCTTTTTTTAGCAGTCATGAATCATTTATGATGATTGTAGTAATGGAGAAGAACAGTTCAATATGTACATGCAATTACCAGCTATTGTTTAAGTTGGTACTTCAATTGATTCCTTTGTGGTTTTATGGTCATTGTCGAACCAAGTCTCCGAATTTTGACACTGTATTTATGGCTTAGCAGGACACAAAGTCTTTGCTACCTGAGGAAATGGTGAGGCATCTTCATAGCACTCTAGGAACTCAAGGACAGGTTTCTACTCTTCGACAACCTTTCCTGATCTGTTTCTTTTTCTTCATTTACCCTGATGTACTTGATTGGACTGGGGATGCAGGACTTTGTTTTAGTAAGCAAGATAGAGGATTGAAATTGCCACGTATGGGATAATAACTGAATTGACTATTAATTTACATAACTGTCACGAGTAAAACTTATCATGTGCAGGTGGTTCACATTGAAAAGATCAGTGCCCGGAGTGCCAAGTATGTTGAGATCCCATGTCAGCTTTCTGATAATGTGAAGTCTGCTTTGAACCGTGTGGGGATTACAAGATTGTACAGTCACCAAGTACGGAAATTATTCTGATAATTAAACTACATCTCTCCCTATGTGTTTCCATTAGGGTGCTTAGTTGTGATGGATTACACAGGCTGAGTCAATTCAAGCTTCCCTCGCTGGTAAACATGTGATTGTGGCCACCATGACATCTAGTGGGAAATCTCTTTGTTACAATATTCCAGTTGTGGAAGCACTGCTGCACAATCCATTAGCTTGTGCTCTCTATCTCTTTCCTACCAAGGTTCGTTTCTGCTTATTGATGGATATTTGATTGGGATTTGGCTGATTATCCACTACGATTGGGTTATGCATCTTGATTTCCTTCTCTATATGATGCTGTTAAGCAGTCTTTGATTGGCTTGACTTACATGCAGGCATTGGCTCAAGATCAGTTAAGAGCTTTGTCAGCACTTACTCACGGGCTTGATAATAGCCTAAACATAGGGATATATGATGGAGATACATCTCAAGAAGATAGATTGTGGCTGCGGGACAATGCTCGGCTGGTATTTTCCGAAATGGGTTTGTTTTGGAATAAGATGAATTCTTTTGGATGGTTGTTGTATTTAACTTTCCATGCACGAATATGCAGTTAATTACGAATCCAGATATGCTACACATCTCTATATTGCCTTTCCATGGACGGTTTAGCCGGATATTGTCAAATCTTAGGTACTTTGAAATGCTTCTGCATTTCTAGTTCTCTATTGCTTTAATCTTTCGATTGACTTCTAGAATTTCCCTTCAATATATGGCTAACAAGATTTTACATTTATAATTATTTTCCATCTCTTATTTACTATAATAGATTGATTTATTCTTAAATTTGGACAGGTTTATCATTATTGATGAAGCTCACTATTATAAGGGGACATTCGGTTGTCATGCTTCTCTAATATTTAGAAGGCTTCTTCGAATCTGTTCTCATGGTACCCCTTTTGGCAGATCATGCCAATCTTAAATTTCTTTCCATCCTGCCTTTTCAGCTCAACTTGAATTTGATCTTTGTAACTGACTCTTTTCCAGTGTATAGCAGTGACCCTTCTTTTGTATTCAGCACAGCGACTTCTGCAAACCCCAAAGAGCATGCTATGGTAGTATATCTCTATAGAATCTGTAAAAAAATATTTGGGACTGCCAACTTATAGTTTGTAATCTAGTTTTTCTCACACAATTATGACCGGCCAACGTTTGATGCTAAAACTATTGGATCATCTACCAATTGAACGCATTTGGCGATATGTAGAATGCAGTTGCAATATAGATACATGTATTGAGTGTCCCGTAACGGGCTATTGGCGCTTTTCTCATTGCCAAATTCACCTTGTCAATATTTAACAACTTGAATGATGTTACAGGAACTAGCAAATCTACCAACAGTAGAGTTAATTGAAAATGATGGTAGCCCTTCCGGTTTGAAGCTCTTTATGCTCTGGAATCCTCCTTTATGCCTGAAAACTGTGAGATTTTGCTTAAAGTATCTATTGATCTTCGATTAGAAATATATTGGGTGGAATTAGTTTAACTACTTTACCGTATCATATCCATTTTCTAGGTTTGGAAGAGAACAAAGACCAGTATGGAGGCTAATGGATCTGTTAGTAAAACTGTGGTTACTGGACGCTCTAGGTAATGCATGTCTTCTCTCTATGGTCCTAGACAGCGTTGAGAGTTCATATTGAACTTGCATATGGTGATAATTTTTTAATGTTATTCTTTATGAGTAGCAAAAACACAGCTTCTCAAAAGTTTAAAAGTTGCAACAACAAAGTTCTCCATAATTGGAGCTACAACATGCCCAATTAAACAATACAATACAAGTACTTTAAATGCGTTATGAATTGATAGTGTTGGTTAATGATTATTCATCATTTTCTGTGATTATGTTATTAATATACTTGTAATCCAACTATTTTGCAGTCCAATCTTAGAGGTTTCCTACCTATTTGCAGAAATGGTTCAGCATGGGTTACGTTGCATTACATTCTGTAAAACACGCAAACTTTGTGAACTTGTTCTCTGCCACACGTATGTATAAACCTCATTTCCCAAGCTTTTCAGTTAATTCCCAAGTCGATGGACTTATTAGCTCATTATATATGTGATTGTGATTAGGCGTGAAATACTTCGTGAATCAGCACCGCATCTAGCAGATAAAGTGTGCTCTTACCGAGGAGGCTACATAGCTGATGTTAGTTTCTTTCTCGAGCATTGAACATATTTAATTTATGAGTTAATATTGACTCTTTGTTCCATTGGCTCGACTTTGATACACTTGATATTACACGACTTTCTTAGTTACCTCTCTGTTTTCAACCTTATGAACCCAATGAATTTATTCTCCTTATGCTATTTTTGAGTGGTCACTGAAAATTTATGGCCAATATTACCAGATGATGTGCTCAATTTGCTCAATATTATCATTTTGAAGAAATATAGAATAAATAAGTTCAAAGCTATATTTTTTCACTGTTTTATTTTGTCCTATATAGATGTTTTAAACCTTACACATTCATTATCTACCATGATATATTAGCTCAGCGGGAAAGAAATGACGATCCGTATGTACCTCCTGGACTTCTTAGTGTTGATCAGTTTTTGCAGAACATGTGACAACTTGCAGAAAACAGAATATTATTTAAATTGGCGAAAGATGTCTAATTAAAAGAAAATGATAATTCAGTGGCTCATTTCAATCTAACTAAATATTACTTTTTTCCTCCTGAGGTAAAGTCCAAAGCATCTTCCCGGCTTATATTTTACTATCTGATGGAACAGGACAGGCGAAGAATTGAGAGTGATTTCTTCAATGGCAGTATTTGTGGTATTGCTGCCACAAATGCCCTTGAGTTAGGCATTGATGTAGGTCATATTGATGTCACACTCCATCTTGGGTTCCCCGGTAGCATAGCGAGGTATAGCATTCACACGTTCTTTTATGTCCTTTCCTTAACATATGCTTTTGACTTTGGGTTTCAATTATTGTTCACTTTAAATGGCATACAGTCTATGGCAACAAGCTGGAAGGTCAGGAAGGAGAGAAAACCCATCACTCGCTATATACGTTGCATTTGAAGGACCTTTAGATCAGTACTTTATGAAGTTCCCATATAAACTTTTCAGGGGTCCGATTGAGTGTTGCCATGTCGATCCTACTAATGATCAGGTTTCTTTATTTTTGGCACTTTTATTTCATTTTGTATTTTGCCATCTTATCTCAATTAATTTTAGTGAAAGGATGGAGGTCTCTTTTTTTGTTGGTTTTATAAAGTAAATGTTGCCTCCTTCAATTGCCTGTCTTAGGTGCTGCAGCAGCACTTAGCATGTTCTGCTCTTGAACACCCATTGAGCTTGCTTCACGATGAGAAATATTTTGGTTCTGGCTTAGAGAAAGCCATCACGAGCCTTAAAAGCAAAGGCTTCCTGAGCACTGATCTATCGCGTGATTGTTCTGCCAGAATATGGACCTACATTGGGCATGAGGTAATTCGTGTGAAACTTACTTAGGTGTCTATTCTGATTAGGAATTAATTTATACTTCACACATGGATAATCTTTATATATATTATTGGTCACTATTCATCTCTTTGTATCTAGGTACTGTATTGTTTCATCGGCCTTAGGTGTGATTGATAAGGATTTGATTTGGTTTTGATTGTTTTTTAGTTAACTATAGTTAATTTTTAAAAAGGTGGTATGGTTAGTTGTTAGTGAGATTTTGAGTTTATATTAAAATAATATTTAAAATAAAATAATTAAAGTTGATTTGATGTAAAAGTAGGAGAGAGATGATGTGAAGTGATGGTTAGTTAAAATTATGTGAGTGGATGAATAGTGAAATAAAGTTTATGTAATGTGGAAGAATGATTAGTATTATTTAATTGAATGGATAATATTGATGATAATGAGGTTGAGTTAAATTTGAGTTTTGATTGGTTTTTTTTTTTTAATTGAATTTATATTCAATCACACCCTTATTAACTCTCAGCATATCTTTTTACATATTGCAGCTCACTACCATACCCCTCTTAAATATTTACACAATAGGATAATTTATTACTAGTTCAAGCTCTTGTTAGAAATATTGTTGTTTTCTCATTTGCCATTGCCATGTATAATACGACACTTACTTTTTTCTTTTAGAAGTCCCCATCCAGTGCTGTTAACATTAGATCCATGGAGCGTGTGCGTTATAAAGTAATTGACAAACTAAAGAATGAAGTCCTTGAAGAAATTGAGGAAAGCAAAGCTTTCTTTCAGGTTAGAACAATATGGTATGGTTTATGATTATTGTTTTTCTTTTTTTTTCATGATATGACGTGTCGAACTTGGTATTGTGGAGTAGGATATGCATTCTTGTGCTGTATCATAGCAAAATTCAATACATATCTGTTGTGAAGAAGGCCCATTAAAAATTACCAAAAAAAAAAAGAAAGAAAAAGAAACCTGGAACATTTAAGTTTAGTCCTATCAGTTCAGCTTTACTTTGTTTGTGAGTTATTTTGTTCGGTGTTTACTGGAATGATGCTTGTGCTGATTGCAGGTTTATGAAGGTGCTGTCTATATGAATCAAGGGAAGACATATCTTGTAAAACATTTAGATTTATCGAGTAAAATTGCTTGGTGCCAACTGGCAGATGTAAACTACTATACGAAAACTCGTGACTACACCGAGATTCATATAATTGGCAGCAATATTGTACGTAAGGGTTGCAAGACTGATTTATTATTTTATTTTTCTCGCCCGTTATAACTTATTTCTTCATCTGGCATTATTGCATACGTTGTCTACAGTGGTTTTCAATTCGTTATTCTGTTCAACCAATAAAGTATAAGAAACTTTTGCCTGAGAGAACTTTTCTGAATGAGTAACACTGAAATCTTTTATTTTTTTGCTTTTCTTTGCCAGCTGTGATTCAATCATTACATTTTTCTTGTGCAAAATCCGAACAATTTCTATTTTTGAAACATTATTGTAAACTTTGTATTTCAATTTTGTCATGTGTAGGCCTATCCAGCTACGGCTTCCATTGACCAGCTTGCAAGAACAACTGCCCAAACAAATATTTGCAAAGTAACAACTACTTGGTTCGGTTTTCGCCGCATAAGGCAAAGAAGCAACGAGGTTATTGATACTGTGGAGTTGTCTCTACCTGATTACTCGTACGAGTCACAGGTGCATCATTGTTAAAAAACCGACATTCGAGTGGATTTCTATTATGTTTATTTTATTTTCATTTTTTACTTTTTTGGTGATAATAGTAATTCATGATGTTAGAATTCCTAGTTATACTATCTTTACATTACTTTGTACTATAGGCTGTTTGGATACGAGTTCCACAATCAGTAAAGATAGCTGTCGAGGCTTCCCATTACTCCTTTCGGGCCGGCTTACATGCTGCAGGTCACGCTCTTCGTAACGTGGTTCCTTTGTGAGTCCTCAACAATCCACCATGTGAATAATTAATTATACCTTATGTTTTGTTTATTCTTCCGAAAGTTTACTTCTAGAAGCTGATAATTTGGGATGTTTAATGTTTTGCTCTCAGCTCCATTTCTCTAAGTGCTTAAAGTTGTTCATAAATTACTTTGTTTTGCAGGTTTATTATATGCAACCAATCTGATTTATCTTCAGAGTGTGCAAATCCTTATGAAAACCACTATGTTCCAGAAAGAATTCTGCTTTATGATCCTCATCCTGGAGGTACAGGCATTTCAGCAAAGGTAAATAAAGACTAAGGGCGTGCTTGGATACAAATATATCCACTCAAAATGAGTTTCTTTGGCTAACCAGAGTAAATTTGGAAAAAATGTGGTATGGTTAGTTGTTAGTGAGATTTTAAGTTTATATTAAAATAATAAAAAAAATAAAATAATTAAAGTGGATTTAATAAAAATTAGAAGAGAGATGATGTAAAGTGATGGTTAATTAAAATTATGTGAGTGGATGGACAATGAATTAAAGTTGATGTGATGTGTAATGATTGATTGATATTATTTAATTATATTGATAATATTGAGGACAATGAGGTTAAGTTAAAGTTGAGTTAGATTTTGAATATGAATTGAAAAATTTTATAAACAAATCGTATTACTTTAGAATCATTCAATGGAAATAAAGTTTTTCTTGGTCTTGTAGAAAGGGGGTTCGTAAATCATAATCACATGTTAGTTTGATCATCGGAAATGTATGATATTACGATTTTAAATACGTATTTTTCCAGGTCCAACCTATTTTTACCGAGCTGCTAACAGCTGCTTCAGAATTGCTTTCTTCATGCCACTGCTCAGGAGAGGCTGGCTGCCCTAACTGTGTGCAAGTCAGTTTTGAATTGTATTATATCTTTTTAATGTTTCGATCTTTTTAATCTCATTTTAATTGGGCTGATAATATATCGGCTCGTCATTTTCCAGAACCTTGCGTGTGCCGAGTACAATGAGGTTCTACACAAGGAGGCTGCATTAATGATCATTAAGGTTCGTACTAAAATGCACTCTCAGTCGCTAAGGTTCGTATTAAAATGCGACTTTCTTTTTTTTTTTTCCCGGCAGGGTGTTTTAGAGGCAGAGGCAGCTTGAGTCTCGTATTTTTGGGTCGTTTGTGCTAACTCGGAAAGTTTTTGTCGAATGTTAATACCTGTGCTCGTCGTGCCCATCAGATTACGGCGTGCTTCCCCAGTTTAAATTGTCGAAAAGCGGATACTTAAAATTGTAAATTTACCAAATGTTGGGTATTGCTTTCTTGATTTGTAGAAATGTTTTTTCTAGAACAGATAGCTGTCTGCATTTTCCAAGACTGCAACTTGGGCATGATTTTTTCTGTTTTGGTCCAACACAAATCACCATGTTTGATTCCAAACCATGGAAAATGATGCAATGGTGAGTTGGTGACTAGCTTTTTTAATAAAAATAATAATAATAATAATAATAATAATAATAATAATAATAATAAATTACAGTTATACTAAATAATGTGTAAAAAAAACACTTTTGAACTAACCCATTTAAAGAAAAAACACATTTTGTGTGGTTGCCCACAAATTTTTCCAAATTAAAATATAATGATTAAAGTTGATATGATATAAATATTATAAAATAATGAATTTAAATAATTGATAGTTAAAAAAATGTTAGTAGATGACAGTAAATTTCGTTAAAAACATGTAGTAATGATCATCCTATGTTATTCAATTATGTTGATAACATTGAAAAAAAAAAAGAAAGAAAAAAAAAGAAAAGATTAACAAATAGTAAATTTTCAAACATATACTTCTCATATACCCCAAGACATCTAAAATTTCCTCAGGCCAAAAAAATTTCTAACTCTAAAGCTATAACTCTCCTAATGCAAAATACTTTTTCCCAATACCAAAAAAGCAAGAAAAATGCGATCTTGATTGTTCCCCCTCAACACCAAAAGCATCATCATCATCATCATATCTGATATAACATCAGCTTGTAACACAATCCTGCAAATATCGATGTGCTCGATTCACATACCGTTCCCACATTGGCCTATATCGAGCTATACTAACCTTCAGCCACGGCTTCATATTCCCATTGTAGTGAATAACAGCTGCTGACTCTATCAGCCATTATCAATATTCATATCATAACCCAACCCCAAAACGTGCCACCTCTGGTCAAGCGGCTCGGTCAACCCGTAACAAGTCAAAAGCCCAGGAGGGAGTGTCCCGAGCTTCCAAATCAACCTATCCGTATTCTTCTCCACCCAAAAATGATATCTTGAAGTCACATTTTCTCTCCTCCAAGCAATCAAATCAAACACGTTCATACCGAAGGCCCATCCACATGCCTGGGGGTCGAATTTGGTGCTTATAATCGGGTTCGAAAAGTTGAGGTATTTATAGTATTGGTGGAAAGCCTCGAGGCACGTCTCGACTGCGCCATTCACATTCCCGTGTAGGTCGAGCGAGAAAAGTTCGGTCAAGTCCTTTTGGACTACTATATCGTCGTCTAAGAAAATTACCTTCTCTAACTGTGGGTAAAGTTTGGGTACGTAAAAACGTGTATTTCAGGTTATTATGGAAATATTTCGGGTCGAGCCAGGTGAATTCTTCTATGTTTTGAACTTCGATTGTGGCGCCTTTGAAATTGTTTGATATAAACCAAGCCTGCATGGCCCCGTACTTCACCCCATTTGTCACGACATGGAAAACGAGTTGTTTTGGATGCTCGGCATTTGAAACAGTCGAGTTGACCACAACTGAAACGGCTAGTGGGTTATTGGAAATATACAGAAATGGTAAAGATTATTGTTGATGTAGGGAAAGCGTACGAGTGAGAAGGATAAACGAGTAAACGAGATACTCTCTCGTAAAACACGTAAAACGAGATACTCTCTCGATAAAACTCACAATCAATTCATTCTTTTTTTCATAATCAACTGACTAAAACAATATATGATGAGCCCTTTAAATAAGACTCCAAAACCCTATTCCTAACTTGTCCAACAAGACAAGATCTCTAATAATACTAACTTGTCTACCAAGACAAGAATCCTAACAAAGTGATAAATAATAAGTTTCCTAACAAATCTATAATACCACTAGTAATAATAATAATAATAATAATAATAATAATAATAATAAATAATAATAATTAAAGATTCTAAACATCCTTATCTCCATCATTTTCTCCCTGTCGAAAAGGATTCGCCCTCGAATCCGAAGTAATCTCATCTTCAACTGCTCCACAATCCCGATCGGGCCAATTTGACGGGCCATGAACTTGGTATACTCACAAGCAGAAAATCTATAGCAGCAACTCTCCACTTTGTCCTTTTTGGGCATACTATGCGAGTTATCAAACACATATGCTTGTTGAATAAAAGATCATGAAAATCCATCTTCCAATTCACTGAAAATATCCATTCCAGGCACAACCTCTGGCCCCATAGATGATTCTACAACCACATGGTACTCGTCCTCCATCGACACCACAAGTGGCTCCTCATCAAAAATAGGCGGACCGTCGTACAATAGTCCGTTATTCTCCTCAAAAACCACACCTTGTTGGCCGTTGTGTACAACAACGAGCTTAGTCTCGACAGGCGGAGGCGGCCACTCTCCGAAGGGATCCACCTCCAAGATGGTCTCCTCGCCGTCTGCATCGCCGGACGGTGGTTGTGGAGATCGTCGACGGGGCGCCCCGCCTGGACCACGACCTCCACTTCCTCCGTGAACTCCCCCGCGCACACCCCGGTCGCCGGCGGCACGGTTCATCTGCAAATCCGCAACAATCACGTTGTTCGGCGTCAAACACACATCTTCGATCCTCGTCGAAAGATCTGCAAACCAATCCGTGAAACGCACGTCCACCTCTTCAAATCGATAGTCAGTTTGTTGAAACCGATCGTTGAAGGTTGCATCACGTTGTTTGTTTGCGGCATCTTCTCGTCCCGGCGACATCGCGATCGTACTGACTGCTGATAGCAACTGATGTAGGGAAAGCGTACGAGTGAGAAGGATAAACGAGTAACAAGATACTCTCTCGTAAAACACGTAAAACGAGATACTCTCTCGATAAAACTCACAATCAATTCATTCTTTTTTTCATAATCAACTGACTAAAACAATATATGATGAGCCCTT